ACATGAGACAGGCGTGTCAGGTGTCAGGCAGTCAAGATTCTGCACTCAGTTCCAACATGGGTGTTTTCCCCCACACTAACAAGCAATTCTTGGATACCAGCTGGGTGTCCTACCATTCACCTCAATCCTGACACTATTTACCTAGAGAGAGCATCAGATTCCACACGTTAAGGGCTCAGTCCTACAAGACTGTCTTCCCTACCCCTCCCCCAACTTCAGATGCCATTGGCAAGCCCGCATCGTCACCGTCACCAGTGCTTCTGACCAACCTGCTATAGATTGGAGGGTCCCATGTGCCCCTCCTCGGGTTCGATTAATTTGCAAGAGCTGCTCACAGAACTCAGAGAAGCATTTGATTTACTAGATTGTTATAAAAGGATATATATAACTCAAGGACAGAAAGATGGGAGAGATGCACAAGGCAAGGTGTGGGGAAAGGGGAACAGAGCTTCCATGCCCTCTCCAGGTGCACCACTCTCCCTAAATCTCCACTTGTTCATCAATCCTTCTGTCTTTTGGGGATTTCCTGGAGGCTTCATTACCTAGGGATGATGGATAAACCACTGACCATTGATTCAATCTACAGTCCCTCTCCCCTCCCCAGAGGTCAGGGGGGTGGGACTGAAAATTCCCACCTTCTAATCACCTGGTTGGTTTTCCCAGCAGCCAGCCCCCATCCCCCATCCTTAGGCTGGTCCCAAAGTCACCTCATTAACAAAGCAAAAGACACCTTTATCTCGCTCTTAGAAAATTCCAAGGGTTTTAGGAGCTTTGTGCCAGAAACAGTGGAAGACAACCAAATATATACATTTCTTATTATAAATCACAAACATCATCACAGGTGCTGAATAAAAATCTTCTCGTGGTTTTATGATGTTAATGGTATTTGCTTGATAAAATTTGTTTTTTTTTTTCTTGGTGGTTTTTCTCATTCTAAAGAAATATTTGTTTTATACCTAATTTTGTACTTTTTTTCTTAAGGCAGACCTCACAGGCCCCCCAAAAATCCAGATCTGCCCTTGCAGATAACATTTTATTCTTTTTTTTCCATTTCAGTGTAAAGAACTGGCCAAGTCCAAGGCAGAAGTGGCCTGCATTGCAATGTATGAAACAGACGTGTTTGTCGTTGGAACAGAGAAAGGACGTGCTTTTATCACTGCCAGAACGGATTTGCAGAAGGATTTTGCAAAATACTGTAGGTGTTAACAGTTTTATCCTTTGTATTCATAAATCTTAGAATTTTGGCAGGCAAGACTTATGTATTATTTTCTTCTAAGATGTCATAAGCGTTATCGTAAAAATGGTTCTGACACATCCCTTTGACTTAGCAAAACACTGAGTCCAAGAAACATGGTCAATGTATTTTACATTGTATCCTCAGCAGGGCCCTGGTTTTGTAGAATACATTTGAAGAACATAGATGAAACTGTCTTTCATTCCTAAAATAAAACCAAATTGAACAAAAATACTCTTATTTTACTCCTTCCCAAAGGAAAGGGAAAAACTCCTTCAAGGCCTATTCGGTTTTTCTTTCAGTTAATAGCCATTATACTCCTTTGTCTTTTTTTTTTTTTTTAATGTGGGACTTTCAGAGCCTTCAATGTAACAATATGTGTTACAAGGCGCATTAGTGAGCATATGTGGTCATCTGTGATCTAAACTAGTCTAGTGTGTTAAAACCTACATGCTGTATAATGATTATCTCTACCACTGTAGGTCATCTGCCAGGTATTGAATTAGCAATTTTGTATTCCCTGGAACCAAGAAAGGAAAAAAAAAAAAAAAAGTTTATCAGAGGGTATATTTGTGTGTGTGTGTGTGTGTGTGTGTGTGTGTGTGTGTGTGTGTGTGTAGGGGGATATGGGTATAGATATATAGATGTCTCCAAGGGCTGGCAAAGGATGTATACCTGCTCTGAATTATGTCATAGAGTTTTCTCTATAGGAAGTCCTCTCAGAGTTTTAAATTGTCTGGCACTCTATATATATCCTCTCTATATATGTATACAGTTGACCCTTGAACAACATGGGTTTGAATTGCACAGGTCCATATATATTTGGAATTTTTTCAATAGTAAATACTACAGTACTACAACATCTGTGGTTAGTTGAATCCACAAATGAGGAAACGTGGATACGGAGGAAACGTGGATACTGAAGGCCGACACTAAATGATACACAGATTTTCACCAGTACCCCTAACCCTCATATTGTTCAAGGGCCAAGTGTATACCATTTTACTACAAAACAAACCTATATCTATAAAAGATCATACATATACATATATATATATATATATATATATGTGTATATATATATATATATGAGAGAGTGTGATTGATTAGGATTGACTTTTAAGACCAAACTTAGGGTCTCTACGATCAAGAAGATTAAAAAAATGAAGCAATCTTTAAATAAGATGGTGAGTATGTAATTGATGAACAAGAAGCGTATGCTCAGATCAATGTCAGCTGCCAAGTGGATTTCTAATCGTTGAAATTGAATCACAGATTTTTAAAAATTTTTCACAGTGCATGCTAATTTTTCATATATAAAGTTATTCATATTTCTCTGAATATGTGTTCTCTCTTTTTTCCTTGATAAATCTTGTAAGGCATTCATCTCTTTTAATTAAATTTCCAATGAGGCAACTTTTGGCTTTGTGATATTGTCTATTGTTTCTTTGTTTTCTTTGTCATTTATTTCTGCTCTTTATTATTTCCTTATTTAATTGAATTTAATTGCTTTTCTTTTCTAACTTCTTGATTTGGTAGCTTAGGTCATTGAGTTTTTTAAAAAAATATTTAAAGTTATAATTTTTCCTTTAGGTTCTGCTTTAGCTGTAATCCTCAGACTTTGATATGTTGTGTTTTATTATGATTTTGTTCAAAGTATTTTCTAAGAACCCTAGTAATTTCTTTTTGACCCATGATTACTGAGAAGCATGTTGCTTAATTTCCTAATATTTGGAAATCTGGGGATTATTGATTTCTAGTTAAATCCCATTGTGGTCCAAAAACATACTCTGTATGATTTTAATCCTTTTGAGTTTATCAAGACCTAATTTATCACTTAGCACATCATTTATGTTGGTGAATATTCCATGTACACTTGAAAAGAATTTAGATTCTGCAGTTAACAGACCAATCAGGTCAAGTTGTTAAATGTTATTCAGTTCATCTGTATAATTTCCAATTTTCGCCTATTATTTTATCCATTATTGATAGAGGATTGTTAAAATAGCCAACTATATTGTATATTTGTCCCTCCTTTTGGTTAGTACATTTTGCTTCACACATGTTGAAGATATGAATATGAACATTATTAGATATAAATTTAGGATTGTAATGTTTTCCTGCT